GGTCCCCAAACATCCTCCCACTGATCATTCCCAAAGCTTTTCTTTCCATCCTTCCCCTCAGACCTTTGCCTTTCCCCCAGGCCACTGCCCTGGTACCTCCCAAGACCATTCCTTGCCTCCCTCTCCACTCCCAACCATCTCCCAGTCCCCTCGTTTTTGTCCTCCTCCATCCTCCTCCTCCTGTCCCCACCAAGCCTCTCCCTTGCAGTCCCCATGTCCCTATACTTGAATTCCTTTCCCCTCCCCTGCATCCCACACAGGGCCCCTTCAACACCCCAATCCCAGTCTCGTGGACTCCCCAGTTCCCCCCAGTTCAGCATCTTTGGGTCCCCCCAACCTCCCCCCACCGTCCCTGCAGGCCCTGAATTCCCCTGGCTCTCCTTGTCTCCATCCCCACCCTGGGCCCTGCAGGCACAGGGGTTGGAGGTGAAACTGGGTGGAGTGGGAGTGGGGGGAGCAGAAGGGATTTTCCCCCTCAGATGGGGGCAGCCCTGGGCTGGGGGGGCTGGGGACACCCGTGTCCCTCCCCCAGCCCCACAGGGGCCAATCCTGAGCAACCCTTTGCTCTCCTTCCCCAGGCACTCTTGGCAGGAACCCAAAATGATCTGCGGGAGGTGAGTGGGCCGGGGGGACTGGAGGGCATCCAGTCTGGGAACTGGGGGACACTTTGGTCCCCCCATTCCTCGCTGGCACCGGGGGCATCCCGGTGACCAGCCAGGGCTCCTGGTCTCTCTCCAGCTGCATTTAGTGGACGTTGGGATCCTGAAGATTGCTCAGGTGGGTACCAGGAGTTCTGCCTGAGTCGGGTCCTCCCCTCACATGGCCATGACACTCCCGGCCATCCCAGTCTGCCCCAGTATACCCCAGTGCACCTTCCCCAAGGATCCCATTTCTTCTCCCAGGCTCCCAATACATCCCACTGCACCCAGTGTGTCTCTGAGCCTGTCTTCCTCCCCACTCCCCTGTGGTGGAGAAGGTGGGGGGTCCTGTTGGTGAGATGTGGCTGCATCCCTGGATGTGTGAGGTGA